CTCATTCTATGGGTTAGTAGTACTATGATACTTCAATCAGTCTTGCTATTTTTAGCTTATTTGTTATTGTGGGTATTCTTAGCCTGTTGTGGTTTTGCGGTGATTTTGTAAGCTATCTCAGAAAACTTCGTTCTGAAAGTTGACATAGGAGGTTTTAAAATAAATAACAATAAATATAGTTGCTCTAAAGCAATTACTTTCAAATTGCTAAATTATTAAAGCTTTCAAATTGGCCAGAGGGCAATTTGGTTGTTTTGGACCCCAGCTTTAATGCAAACAAGTGCCGTATATGTCACCACTGATAAAACACATCACCAAATTTGTACAGATAGTCCTCAATTTATGACCACAAATGAGCCCAAAATTTATGTTGTTAAGTGAGAAATTTATTAAGTGAGTTTTGCCACATTTTACAACTTTTCCTGCCACATTTGTTAAGTGAATCACTGCAGTTGTTAAGTTAGTGACATGGTTGTTAAGTGAATTTGGCTTCTCCGTTGACTTTGCTTGTTAGAAGGTCACAAAAGGCGATTGTATAACTCCTGGACACTGCAACTGTCATAAATATGATTCAGATGTCAAGCATCCAAATGTAAATCACGTGACCAGGGAGTTGGGACAATGGTTGTGTGAAAAACGGTCATAAGTCACTTTTTTCAGTGATGTTGTAAGTTTGAAGTGCCACTAAATGAACTGTTGTAAGTCAAGGACTACTTGTACATGATTACATTTTTCCTAGAGGTGTTTACTACCATTTAAGAACATATGAGCTCCTAAATTATCATCATTATAACCATCCTTGTTATATAAGATCAAATCAAGTTTTCTTCAGACGTTTTTATGAAAGTTCTTAGTTATGGATAAAGCAGTGGTGGGTTCTTCCTGGTTCGGCCTGGTTCTGCCGAGCTTTCTGCCAAAAGCTTTATTTAGTCCATGAAAATAAATGTCATGACAAACTGGCTGGTCTTGAAGCTGCTAAAAAACTCTTCGATGTTCCTGTGGCCACAGACATGCAAATCAACCTAAAGCATTTTATATTCAGAAGTAAATCCTATTAAGTCAATGAAGCATATTCCCTAATAAGTTTTAGATCTTATTATAACTAGGATCTAATGATATATAATAAGGCCTATCTGTCAGTAGAATCTTCTATAAACTACAAAAATCAGTATTGTTTAACTGATTCATTCACCAAGTGAAAAGGCCTCAATAATATGCAAGTATAATAAAGAACACAAATAGATACAAATATGCACATTTTAATACGAATTAAAGAAAATATGAAAGAAATTTCTATACCACTTTTCTCAATGCTCAGCTTCATGTCCCTCTAATTATGGCATAATTATACCTTAACATAATCTCATTAAATTGCCTCTGTCTCATCTCAAGTCTACAGTAGAGGCTATCTAAATTTCTGTTTAGAATTTCTAGTCTTAAAGTAGCGTGTTCCTTCTTCTCCCAATGTAATTTTGGCTATAGACCCAATCTGAACTTTCCCAGTGATGTGGTTATTGGCAGAGTCAAGAGTTGGATATGCTTTGGTCCTGGGTGTGTGTGTTTTTTTTCCTTTTGAAAAAAGATTGGACCTGTATTTTACAAAAATAACAAGAGTTACCTTGAGTGATCACCATTTCTGCACTGCATAGCAGGTCGCTTAAATGGGAAAAAGAACTACCGTACTTTTTGGAGTATAAGACACACTTCCCCCCCTCCCCCAAAAGAGGTAGAAATGTTGGTGCATCTTATACACCGAATACAGCCATTTTTTGCCTCCCGAAACCTCGCCTCACACGTCCCGTTTCCCCCCCAAAATGGGCCCTTTTTGCAAAAAAATGGGCCCATTTTTCACCTCCCAAATGCGTAATGTTTTTGCCCTCACCAGCCCCCAGGAGAACTCTGCAGGCCTCCCAAACCCTCAGCCTGCCCCATTTTAGCAAAAAATGGGCCCGTTTTCACAAAAAATGGGTCCGTTTTTTGTCTCCCAAACCTTCCATGCGCAGCGTTTTTGCTTCCCCAGCCCCTAGGAGCATGCTGCAGGCCTCCCAAACCCTCTGGGCATCCCATTTTTGAAAAAACATGACGCACAGAGGGTTTGGGAGGCCTGCAGAATGCTCCTGGGGGCCGGGGAGGGAAAAAACTTTTTTTCTTGTTTTTGTCTTCGAAATCTTGGTGCGTCTTATACTCTGGTGCATTTTATAGTCCAAAAAATAGGGTAGATTCCTCCAGTTGCTAGGCCTTTTGCAGAATACCTTCTTGCCTGCAAACTGTTAGATGGGCAACTTTACAAGCTTGCCATTCTAAGCACCCAGCTTAACTCATTTCAGCCCAGCTCATCTTATTTCACATTAAGAACAAACAATGCGGTCTTTCTTGCCAACAGATGACCTTGGCAAGTCATCTGTTTGCAGTAAAATTATAAGGACAAGCACCCCTGATTATGCAAAGCGATGGGACAGGTTATACAGGTATACTTTTCTGCTAATTCAAGGACAGGAAGACAAGAAATCCGAGAAGAAACCTCAATTTTCAACTTCATATTTTTTAGTCACATTAAGAAAGATGCTGTCCAATACTTTGGGAAAGGAAACATTTGTGGAATACTATTTTGAATAGCTATTGCAAGGCACCTGATTTATAAGGGCACCATTACCATTGAAAAGGAGGACTTATCTTTTTTATTGTACTGTTTTCTAATGAAAATCCTCAAAGCTTTCTCGTTATTTTTTTTTTTTTATCGAAAAGGATAAACAGGGAAAAACAGCAATGCTGAAGAATGGTGGAGAGTCAGTTCATTCAGCAGGTTCTGACAGGTTCTGGAGAACTGGTAGTCGAAATTTTGAGTAGTTCGGAGAAGTGGCAAATGCCACCTCTGGCTGGCCCCAGAGTGGGTGGAAATGGGGATTTTGCAGTATCCTTCTCCTGGAGTAGGGTTGGAATGGAGATTTTGCAGTATCCTTCCCCTGCCATGCCCACCAAGCCACACCACGCCCACCAAGCCACGCCCACAGAACTGGTAGTAATGAGCTAACCCCATTTAGAACTGGTCAACTCAAAGTACTGCAGATTTTTTCCCCGCATCTCTTCATTTGACCTTCATATTTGACTGTCGCAACCTTTTAAGAAAATGTTTAATAGCAGTACAGGGGTTCCAAATTTGTTTGATAAAAAGGGGCCTTTTTTCCTTATCTTTTTCTATGCATTTAGCAGTTGCCTATATCAAAGTACTGCCAGGTTGTGATCGCTTCAGATTGCTCACGAGTCATAGATGGAGGGAGGGATATGGGTGAAGGAAAAGGTTAAATATATTCCTTCCATGTTGATTTTGCTGTACAATTCCATACAATTTATATACAAGATAACTTTCCCTGCACTAATGAGCCCTGATTTTGTTCATGAGAGTTTAGAATCATACAGGAACACAGTCTTATATAAGAAAAAGTGAAACATTCACATAAGGGAATAAGCTTCTGTTCTTTGGGCAACGTATGAAACATAGAACAGCTTTTTTAAGATTGAAAAGAAATGTCTGACCTCAGGAGATAAAATCCATCAATGGACTCTCCCTCTGGCTGGCTATTTTGAGGTCATGGAATCTCAAAAAAGATGGAGCTGGGGAATATGCTGCATCCAACCCTTCCCCCCTTTCCTTGCCTTGTTTCCAGTGGTGGGTTGCTCCCAGTTCTGTCCGGTTCTTTAGAATCGGTAGTAAAAATGGTGGAAGGCTCCGCCCACCTGCCTGGATGTCACAATTGATGATCTGCGCATGCGCAGAAGTACGCGCGCACACGAGCAAAGTAACCACACACTCCTGTTGCAAACCAGTAGTAAAGGTAAGTAGAACCCACCCCTGCCTGTCTCATATATAACAAATACTTTTTTTAGTTAACTTTTGCAATGGTAGGATTTTCTTTTTTTCAGACAAAAAGAACAAGGAAGAGCAATATTTGCCTTTACTGGTCTGTTTTCATGGAGTGCTTGGAATAATCAGAGTCTTGATTGTCAGAATAAAGGTCCCTTGGAAGAGGTAAGAAGTCAAGTCAAGCTGGAATCCTGGTGAATTCATGGCCGTGCAATTTTCTTAGCAACAATATAAATGTGGTTTGCTATTGCTTTCTTCTCTGACGGTTCTATGCCCAGTATAGCCTATAACCCTGGGAATCCCTGGTGGCCTCCTTCTATCCAAACTAGTACGATGAAGTGATCAAGGACTAGAATGTTGGAATGTGGGTTCTAATCCACCCTCAACTATGGAAGCTTTTGTATCAGTTTCTCTCTCTCTCTCTCTCTCCCTCTTCCTCCCTCCCTCTTTCTCTCTCACACACTTACACCTGTATTGCAGTGTGGTTGTTGTGGGGATAACATGAGAGATTATCATCAAGATCACTTGATTTGGAAAAAGGGCTCCTAAGCCTCATAAATTGAGCATAATAAACAGCAGGGGGAAGGACAAGGGCAAGAATTGCCCTGAGCACTACTAGCAGAAATGCCAAAAGTTCAAAGGTTTGAACCAGATCAGTAGTTTTATTCAGGATATTAGAATAATACAACATTACAGTATTTTGTGTTTCTCACACTGTGATTTCCTGGGTCTATTTATTAAGGAATAGAATAGAATAGAATAGAATAGAATAGAATAGAATAGAATAGAATAGAATAGAATAGGTTTATTGGCCTAATGAAAAACAGTATTTCTTTCAACTACATTCTATATTTTTTTGCACTCTGCCTTGGGAGGCCTTTAAATGCTTGGCTGGAGTCTCCTATGAACAATGTAGGCTCTCGCTGTCAAGGATATCACGATCCTGGCAGCTTTGTATTGCTTTTACTTATGTTATACAAGAAATCACAGACATGCTTGCCATCATACTGAGTTGAAATACAAATACACCCTACAGGCTTCCCGTTTCTGCCAAGCCTCCTTTAAACAGTGAACTCCCCACCCCCCCCAACCGCAAATAATTCGCAGTCATAAGCATCCAGGGATGCTCCTAGCAGCGCTGCTTGATGTTTTGAGCTCCCTTTTCCGCGAAGGGCACAACAGCTTTTGCTCGTATGACGATTATTCCACGGCTGTCGTGTGGTGGCGAAGTTAACGTTTCTGCGGGGGTGGCAGCAGCGGCATCAAATGGACAAGAACTAACTTTCCAAGACGGCGCTTATGTGGGGCCTCGGTTTCTATCGGGACGGCCTGAAAATCCGGGCCTGTAATGCGGGGGAAACCATCCCTCAGCCAGAAGAATCGAGGTTTGTTTCTGGCGACCACGAAGGGCTTCCCTCGAAACCTCGGCTGGCACGATGGGCTGCCCAGTTGCAGATGGGAAAACTTTCCGCATCTCTCAACGGAAGTGGAGGCGGTGGACCACCGGGAGGGGAGCGAAGCCGCCCCAGAGAGGCTTCGCGGGATAAGAGAACCCCACGAGGCGAGGCGAGGCGAGGCGAGGCGGGGCGGCCAGCTGAGTCAGGCTGCTCTTGCTAGCCAAGCAGACCAGCCAGCCGGCCTGCCGCCGCAATAGCCCGGCGTGAAGACCAGCGCAGCGCTGAGGGTTTTTTTTTAATTTATTTTTTTGGACGGAGAGATGGAGGGAGCGGAGAGTCGCGGAGTGGCAGGCTCACCGTCCAATGGGAAGGCACGGGGACGACCACGGGGGCCGAACGAGGGTCGGTGGCGTGGAAGCTGCAGCTCCCTAGCCATTCAATAGAGGGGGACGCGAGCCTGCCGGGAGGGCGCCGCCGCCGCCGCTGCCGTTACTACTTAAAGGTTAGCGCCGCCGCCGCCGCCGCTTTTTGGCTCCGATCGCGTCGACTTCCCTGCAGCTTTGGGATTTCGGGGGCCAGGCGAGAAGTGGCTCCCTTCCAAAGTCTCGATGGACTTGCGATGGAGCGTCATCGTCTGAGCGCTGCCGCCGCCGCCGCCGCCGCTGGTGCAGAGAGGCCGGCTTCTGCTCCTCTTCCCTTCCTGCAGGATCCAGGGCTTGGCGGACGTCGGCCAGGAGCAGCGATGGGCAGCCGGCACCTCGGAGGAGGGAGATTCAACGACTCTTCCCCGTCGCCTTAGCGGCGGCCGCTTCTCACGCTTCGCTCGGCCACTTCCTCGCTCAGCATCCCCAGACCGCTCGCCCTTGCGGCGGGGGGAAGCCGAGCTCGGGCCGTTGCGTGCAAGAGTTGATAGTCCCGCGCTTCTTCCCCCCGCAATGCATTGACTCGGGAATCGGGGGCTCCGCGACCTCGGAAAGTTTGCGCGCTCCCCGACCTCGGCCGGCCGCTTGGCTGCGGAGCGGAAAGTCTCCGGCTCCGCGGAAGGACGGAGGAACGGCCGAGTCGTCTCCTGGGATGATGCATTAACTTGGTGCAGAGGAATCCCTCAAGCCGGATCGATCCTTTTCTAGGAAAACCTCGCCAAGCGATGGAAGGTAGGAAGGACGGGAAGTTCTCCTGAGCGGCGGGCGACGTGTAGGCGAGTGAGCGGGAGCAGGAAGACGGGCCTCCGGGAAAGCTGGCGGGATGCCCTCCATGCTGGGAGGAAAGTGCTGGGACGTCCTGACCCACCTCGACCGGTTCGCTGTTGGAAGCGTTTGCCTGTGATGTGCGCCAGTTGGCAGGGCTGGTTTCCAGTCCTCTTCTCCAGCTTAGCAACATGAAAGTGTTCCGCAGGAAGGCTCTGGTGCTCTGCTTGGGCTACGTGCTGCTGCTGCTACTTACCATGCTCAACTTGCTGGACTACAAGTGGCACAAGGGGCCGCAGCAGTGTAGTGGTCCCTCACCTGCCCGGCGCATATCCTATCCGCAGCAACTGCCTTATTACGCCTCTCAGTCCAGGTCAGACACACGGGCTCTCTACGGGCCTCCTGTGCCCTTGGCCCGCAAGAGACAGCTGGTCTATGTTTTCACCACTTGGCGTTCAGGATCCTCCTTCTTTGGGGAGCTCTTCAACCAGAACCCGGAGGTCTTCTTCCTTTATGAGCCTGTGTGGCATGTGTGGCAGAAGCTGTACCCAGGAGATGCTGTTTCCCTGCAAGGTGCGGCCCGTGACATGTTGAGTTCCCTCTACCGTTGTGACCTCTCTGTCTTCCAGCTCTACAGCACTGCGGGGACAGGGAAAAATCTCACCACCTTGGGCATCTTTGGCGCGTCCACCAACAAGGTAATCTGCTCCTCACCCCTCTGCCCAGCTTACCACAGGCAAACTGTGGGTATGGTGGATGACAAGTTGTGTAAGAAGTGCCCACCGCGACAGCTCAGTCTTTTGCAGGAGGAATGCCTCAGGTACCACACTTTAGTCATCAAAGGTGTGCGGATCTTTGACATTGCAGTTTTAGCACCACTGATCCAAGACCCTTTCCTGGGTCTCAAAGTTATCCACCTGGTCAGGGACCCCCGGGCAGTGGCTAGTTCCAGGATCAGATCCCGCCATGGGCTCATCCGCGAGAGCTTACAGGTGGTGAGGAGCAGAGACCCTCGCATCCATCGAATGCCATTTCTGGATGCAGGCCACAAGCTGAACAAGAAGGAAGGAGGAGGTGGTTCAGACTACCATGCCTTGGGAGCTATGGAAGTCATCTGTGGCAGCATGACAAAGACTCTGCAAATGGCTCTGCACCCACCGGATTGGCTGAAGGGGAATTATATGGCTGTCCGGTATGAGGACCTGGTGGTGGACCCCATCAAGACTTTGCGACAGGTCTATGGGTTTGTCAATTTAGTGGTGAGTCCAGAGATGGAAAAGTTTGCTCTCAATATGACAAGTGGACCTGGGTACTCTTCCAAACCTTTTGTGGTCTCTGCCAGGAATGCTAGCCAGGCAGTTAATGCCTGGAGGACCGCACTGAGCTTTCATCAGATCAAGCAAGTGGAAGAGTTTTGCCATCAGCCTATGTCTATCCTAGGCTATGAGAAAGCTAGTAGCCCTGAAGAAGTAAAAGACCTTAGCAAAACCTTGCTCAGGAAGCCAAGATTGTGAAAAGGATGTGTGCTTTTCGACACATAAGGACGTACAGAGAGAGCCATCTACAACCTTCCACTTAACAACGAGAGGGACAATGCAAAATATAGTTTTTTCTTAAAAGATATATTTTACTTCTCTAGAGACCGCTGAGAATTACACACATTCAGCTGATATAATTTAAATACACACAGTGATTTAGTATTTCTAAGACTTTATTTTCCCCCTCCAGAAATTCAAGGCACATGATTCAGTACATAGCAGTATCTTTATATACTTGTGATAGTAATCATGACAGCTTTGCACATTTGTGGTGAGGGTTGGGTGGTATCCGAGGTAAGGAACTAATCAGTAAAACAAGATTCAGAGGAGTGAACTTTTGTATAAATGTTTAAATGTAATGAAGAATTCAATAAATGATGCTCATTTTACAGTGACTTGATTGTACATGTATATATGCATTTAATGATGATGCTTGTGATGAAAGCTCTTTAGAGAGTTTGCTGATTATCAGAAAAACTGTTTTTACTTTTTTGAAAGCAGATAAATGGCTTCTTGGTTTTCATGTCTGTATAAAAAAGATAAAAAAATGATAAACAGCATTGCAAAATATCTGTCAATAGAAATAGTTTCCCATTCAAAAACATCTGGGTTGAAAAATACTACTTAAAACAATTTTACATGTCCTAATGCCACACTGCAACAAAAAATCAGATTGTACATTAAATTGCACTTTAAAAGACAATCTATTATGGCATAAACTTTTAATCAGATTCCTGAATTGTTAACTTGCTAAAACTACATCTGTAAATTGAGAAGTCAAGGGGGAAATAATATGGTGTTTTTAAACAAAATAATTTGTTCTGGCTGCAGTTCTGGGCTTTAACTGGATCTTGCTGGTTTTTCTAAATCTATGAGAGAATGAATTAACAGATTTTCTATAAAGAGTATGGGTTGTCACCTATAGAAACTGCTTTAGAACCACACAGCAAATTTTGTAAGAAAATATATTGAAAAACAAACAATGATATTTCTATGAGCAGCATCAGAATGGTGAACAGTCTGAATGCTGTCTGAATGCCGTGATGTTAATTATTCTCAAACAGTGCTGGGGTATCCTGGAAGTTGAACTCTACACATCTTCAAGTTACCAAATTTGGAAAACAGTTCTAGAACCTTAGGCAAAAGAAATAAAGGTATTAGAGTATAATGCTAATGTATTTATAACAAAGTAGTTGCTATGAGAAGCAAATATTTAAGTCTTCAGTTCTGTGTTGGTCTAGGGATAAGCTTCATTGAACTCAGTATATTTAAGTTTTGGCAAAAATTAATCAGTATCCTTCACTGAGGAAAGTAGAAGATACACTTTGAAATTGATAATGTTATAAGAGTCTTCCTTTCCTAACATTAAATAGAGCATTATTACTGCCTAATGGGCAATTGTTAAGCGAGATTACATGCCAATAGTGCTTATTTTCTCTGTGTATAGAAAACTTTGAAAATGCTCTGAGGGTGCCTGATGGTGGATTAAAGAATTAATTATCAACAAGGATCTTAATTGGATTGTTCTAACAGCAAAACTAAATGTTACTGCATCAGAATTTTAGATTTGAATTAAAGGGCATTCTAGACTTAGTGTCTTGGTCAGTGTCAATATGGTTCATTTGAATTCTGTCCTTGAAGGAATGCTAGCTTTTAGATGCTTAAGATGGCTATCATTGGAGGAGTAAGAATTGTGAAAATCAGTGGAATTTACCCCTGTGTAGACCTAGAATTGCCTGTATTATTATTTTTCCTCTTCATTTTCTATTCCATTAAGTGCCTTCTTCTGAAGCCTGTGTCCTCTTCTCTTAAATGTTTTAATTAGAGAGGTGAGAGGTAATTTAGTTTTTTTCTAAGAGACAGATGTAGACTATTCTGCCAAGGACAGGAGATTTTTGATTTTGCTGAGTTAAGAGTAAATGTTCAGATTGGTTCTTGGGCTTTGTTCTGTCTATAGCTCCAGTGTCTAGGACCATACCTCACCCATCTCTCTTTGTCAGGAGTAGATATGGTCAGCTTTATTCTATTAACAATGTGAACAGCATTGCCACTAACTCTAATCTATATTTTGAAATGTATTCTCATCTTTAAATTGAGAATAGTTGAATACCACCAGACCTCTGACTAACATTTTATTACTGGACCTTGGTGAATGAAGAAAAAAATAAATGAGAAGAGTTATTTATGCAAATAATAATGAGAGAGAAATGGATGTAAATGGTCAATCAACACCTCACCCTGGGCCATACAGGTAGTGCTTGACTTATGACCACAATTGAGATCTAAATTTCTGTTGCAAAGGAAAATAGTTGTTAAGTGAGTTTTGTCCCTTGCTACAGTTATTAAGTGAATCACTGCATTTGTTTAGTAACACAGTTGTAAAGTGAATCCGGTTTCCATTGCCTTTGCTTGTCAGAAGATTACAAAGATGATCATATGACTCCAGGACACTGCAACCATCATAAATATATTGCTAAGCATTCGAATTTTGATCATGAGGATGCTGCAATAGTCGTAAGTGTGACAAATGAACATAAGTCACTTATTTCAGTGCCATTTTAACAGAATTAATGGAATAACATTTGGAAGTCACCTTGGAGGTCTTCTAATCCAAATCCCTGCTTAAGCAGGAGACCCTATACCACTTCAAATGGTCACTGAGCGAATACTTGTAAGTTGAGGACTATCTGTATCTTAACATAATATTGGCACCTTCCAATTTCCAATTTTCTTTTGTATGAACTGAGGATAGGACACTTAGTTTTTGCTATTTTTTTCTCAGCACTCAAGATTAGTAGAAGAAAAATCCCTTCAAACTTTTATAGAGGAATAGAAACAATAGCAGTGAGTATGTGCCCATTGAGAAGTAGCTTAAGTTTTTTGTTTTTTTTTACAAAGGGGCCAGGGGAGATGAGATTCTGTAGTCCTCTCTTGGACTGTTGTTCTATAACTTGAATTTTGTGCCTGTTTACATTTTTGTCAACATTGGAGAGCCATAAAACAATATTAGCTGCCAGTTATGGTGTTTATTTGTGTTTTTATGGGAACATTACAACAGTGTGTATTATATAGCGAACATTCTGTTTTGCTATTATCTGCAATGAACTTTTGTGCAATCAAATGGACGAAAGCGCTGCTACAGGTTGCATTTTGTGACTTGGTCCATTGAATAACCAAATTCCCAAAGAAGGCCCATGAAAGCCTACATAATTGCCTTAGTGCCGTGATGGCGAACCTATGGCACAGGTGCCACAAGTGGCACACAGAGCCATATCAGTGGGCACGCAACCATTTGCATAGCTCAGCTCCAGTGCACATGCGTGCACCGGCCAGCTGATTTTTGGGCCTTCCGGTCCCACCGGAAGTTGGGAAATGGGCTGTTTCCGGCCTCCGGAGGGCCTTGGGGGGGAGGGGGAAGGCCGTTTTCACCCTCCCCAGGCTCCTAGAAAGCCTCTGGAGCCTCTGGAGGGTGAAAAACAGGCCTACCGGACCCACCGTACCATTGCATGCTAAAAGCAAGGGGGGGTGTGCATGAGCAGGGACTGGGCACATTGAAATATGGGTGTGGGCACGCACGTGGGTGACCTCCCTGCGGTCCCCGCTTTTGCCACGCAATGGCAAAAAGGTGAGCCATCACTGCCTTAGTGCATGTTTTATCTCCTTGATATAGTTGTCCACATTGTATATTATTCCACTGATCAGATGTTCTTTCACACTGTTGAAAAGTGATGGAAACGTTTGTAAATGCTTCAGCAACCTATAAAATCTATTTAGCCAAAGACTATGGTGATTAAAAGGCACGTTAGAGAAAATGAGAGGCAATAATATATTTGTATATTATACATATTCATGTATAATGTATTCATGGCCCTATGGATGTTCTCCAGGTCTTTGTAAACCGTTTCTATCTTTGTATAATTTACTTTCTCCCTGAAACAAAATCAGATATGAAGGCTTGGAATTATCAAATGTGATTGGATGTGCTGCCCATTCTAGCGTTTTAGTAACTGCAAGAATCCAGACGTTTCTGGATAATGAGCTTATTATTTCTAACTTTTTTCTTCTACGTTCCAATGGATGACTTACTCAATTTGAAGCCCCTTACACAGTGTGGCATCCAATATATGAAAAGTCCTATTCCCTAGCAGCCTAGGCTTAAATACTTCTCCATAGCACTGAATAGTCTGAGTACTTTAATTACAGGCTTTTTGCTTGTGTTTGCTTATCATATCAGTAGGGAACCCTTCCATCAGACATTATAAATATGTGTGTTATAAGATAATATATATGCATTCAGTTCTAACCTCTTATTACATGCTGTTATGTGGGAACATTTTTCTTCATGGTTTCAGATAAAGGAAAGTAAAAGGAAGCTGCTACTTAGAGCATAGAAAAAATACTAGCCACAAATGTTTTCTGTCCTTGGAGTACAGAAGGTTTCTTCCAAGAAAATGAGTTTTTTAAAAATCTCTTTGATTCTCAAGGAAAAGAAGAGCTCTAATTGCCCGGAACAGAATCTGAACTAAGGAATCCTGTGTTAAGTGGTGGCCTGTAGTATCCAATCTTCAAAACCTTATGCTATTTTAGCTGTGATTACAAAAACAGGAAATTTCCCACAGGAAGAATTCTTACAATTTCTTAAGTTTATTAAATGCATACGAACTCCTAGTCCATTTATAACGTTCTAAAATCAGCACTCTATTTTTTTTTTAAAAAATGCTTAAACACATAATACTTCTTTTGTAGTGAATTGAAGGAAAAGTCACCTAGTGAATTCCATATAAACTTGACATTCCTGAAGTTCTCAATATTAAAAGGGAATAAAAAATTAATTACAAATTGATTGAGAAATTAGGATCAGCTGAACTTTTTCTGTTTAAAGGCTACATTGACCATAGGCTTAGATGTAATCTCTTGACTCCCAGTTGCTCATTTTGTAAAGCAGTTTGCAAAAACATTGGTTCCTGCTGTCCACTCATGAGGAGCAGCTTTCTGGGTGCAAGTGGACTACCTCATGATGTCTATTCGGAAAAAATTCCACTGGTTTTGGATTTTATCCACAATGCTGTTCTTGCTTCTTCAGGGATATCTTCAATTCTCAATGCCCTCACTTGGAAGTCTTTTTTTTTTCTTTGTAAAGAAAAGGATATTGGACAGCCTAGAACCATCTCACCTCAACACCCTCTTGTCATTCCTGGGTATCCTTCGAAATTTCCATTTTTTCACCAGTGTTAAATAGTGAAACTCATTCCATATCCTGAAATTTTTGTATGGCATTTAAACTGCTGTTATTGGATATCTTAACCTTCCCTTCCTTACACTCTTCTAGTTCAATGTAGGGATTCTGGCCCCCAACTGAATCACAACGTTGCTCACCCTCAAACTGCACTCCAGT